AATTCCCTAAATAAAAAATTTTCTTTATAAATTTTCTTCCAATCTTCATCCAACGTCTCTTCTTCCTGGTCTCGGGTCGTGTCAGTCCTTACTGTCCATTCCATCTAGTCCATCAACCTGGAAGTCTTATGTCCGAGGCCCTTAAGTCTCTTCCATGTCCCTTCTGCAGATCTTCTTCTTCTTGTTTATACTTGCCCTTTTCCTTGTCTTTTGTTGGTCTCTTTCTTAATTTCTTTCCTTTCTCATTGAGGAGTAGGTCTCTGGGGGATTCCAAACCAAAATTGTCTCCATCTCCCTTCATCAAATCCGCCCATTCTCCACAGTCCCACTCCCCACAGTCATCAATGTAATCCAAAAAGTATTTAAAAGCGTATTTCAAGGTCTCTCCAAAGTTAGGAATCTCCTCAGCTCCAGACTCCCCCTGGCCCGCTCCAACTTCAATCTTCAATGACAGCGGGTTATACTCCTGTAGGGCCTCGGGTCTCTCCATTTGTATTATTTGAGGTGCAACCGCATCCTCCTCCATTACCTTCTGCACTTGCCCGGTCAGTACAGGTTCATGAGTTGGTGCCTGAATAGTTTCTGTATCAATGTTCCCTGTTTGTCCACAGTTATTAACCACAACAGTCATCAAATCCTTTTTCTCATTCATCAAATCCATCTTCTCGTGCATCTGTTCCAGGAAGGCACTTGTCTTGCATAAAGCAAGCACCCAATCTTCCTCCCAGCTCATCTTTAGTCAAGGTCAGAAAAGACTGGTCCCACGATCTTAATCTCACAGCTGTTGAGTCCTCAAGTAGACTGCAGCAACAATTTAACAAGCTCCCTCTAGAGGAGACAATTTCTATTTGTATCCATTTTTTTTAAGGCAAGTCCAACAAAAGAAAAATTACTTTCATTTTTCAGATATTTTTCAGATATTTTGTTTCTTTAGAATGCAAAAGGCAACATTGGAATCAGTTTATTTCTCTTCTTTAGCTATCTGTCAAAGTATTCCATTCACAGTCAATGAACCTCTCCAACTATTTCTGTCTCTGACACCCCGTTCCCAGGTTAGAGACGGTGGAAACTTATCCTTCTTCACTCCCTCTCCTGCAGGAGTTAAACAAAGTCCCCCCCCCCCTTTTCTCCTGCTTCCAAAGGGGTTTCAGTAATTATAAATGAAGGAAATTTAGACTTTTTTAACGGCTTTCCAGGCTTTAGCTTACAAAGTTTTTGCTTTAGTCTATATACAAAAAGCAGAAGGCGGACTTCCTGTTTTGAACCTTCCCGCTTTGATGCCAAATTAAGATATTTCTTGATCCAATTTTCCGTTTCTACTCACGGGTACTTGTTTTAAATCCAATTGTCCACAGGAAAAGTCAGCGCTCTCCGGCAATGGCTGTGCGGCTTCACTCCGTGAAAGTAGCAATCAGTTCGCAGCACCGCGCTGCTCACCCCACTTCGCTCCGGCGCCCCAAAATGGGGTTCCCGGTGAGTAGGGGGGGCGCTCCTGGTGCCCTGCCGAACCCCATGTTCCCAGGCTTCCTCCGCCTGGGATTTCTAGCGGGTCCCCACCTTCGCCGCGGCGGGAAGACCCAGTTTCCACGGAGCCCGTTCCTCCGATCGGAGGAACTCCGCCATTCACCGATGGCGCTGACCCGGAAGTCCGGGGCTGAGAGACTTCAAAGAAGTATGACTGGCCCAAGGTCACCCAGCAGCTGCGTGTGGAGGAGCGGAGACGTAAACCCGGTTCCCCAGATTGCGAGTCTATCACTCTTAACCACTACACCACACTGGCTCTCACACTGAAGAGGAACACATGGTAGAAGGCAGCCCTTCAAGTACCTAGTCCCAAATTATTTATAGCTTAAAAGGCTAACTCTAGTACCTTGGCTGTATACAGAAGATATATAATATAACTCCACCTCTCCCAAATTAAGAAACTAAACATAACTTCACACTGTGAATATGACTGTGTTGTTCAAATGAAAAGACAAAGCAGATGCATCTGTCTCTGTAAAACACACACATATTCCTCCACCCACTGAAATGAATAGCAAAATGGCCATTGACTTTAACACTATAAGATCAAGCCCTAAAAGCAAATTGGTTTGATCTTGAAATGGTTCTTTATTTTAGCTTGATGAGGTCATTGGCTTGCCAACACAAGAAAGCTGAAGCAAGTTAAATACTTTTTCAGCCACCAAGTGACTTCCTTCTCTTGCTCTGTGCCCCGAGGTTCTCTGTCTCCATTAAATGCTGTTATCAAGGGAGTATTTTGGTTAAAAAATAGCCTTCTGCATGTGAGCACATATGTCTAGGGTGCCAGGGGCTACAATTCAACTTCCATAATGCAACCAAATTAACGAAAGAAATTTCATTAACGTTAACATTACGTGAGCCCTTCAGAACAGAATGGTAAATAGCTAGCTGCATCCTAAAGGAGGTTATATATTACTTTTTGCACGTTGTCATTTTCAAGCCATTGAAACAAATAAATAAATATGCAATGCTGAATTTAAAATAATTCCAATCCTTTTCTGAAGAAGAACCTGACATGCAGGAGCACTGTTAGAGGGTGGCCTAGCAGAACTGAGCATTGGTATTTTGCTCTGGGCCCTCGATCGCCAGAGCACTTCCTAGCCCCCCCCCCCCATATTTTCCTTTTTCTTACTCTGCACACCCTGAAATCTCATAAGGATCTGGCCTACAGAGCCAAAAAGTCCCCCCTGGCTTACAGGATGGTGAGAACCTATCTCCAGGAAATCTTAATTTGCCCAAAGGCATGGGGCCTGTGCAGCGAATCTTCTAAACCCATAGCAATGCCTATGCTGTTAGAACTGCACCATTACTCACATTTCCCCAGCTGAGAATGAATAGGAAAGGCTGAAATTGTCACTTTTGTCCTAGATTAGTTTAACTGATGTATTGAAGACAAGTAAGGAATCTGAGGGATGCTTCCCACCATTTCAGTGGCCAACTGCATCACGCTAGAAACACAAGGCCTGCCGACGCTCTGATTTGCTTTTTCACATGGTCAGTCATAGAATCCTTGGCTCTATTCAAGCTCTCAGTTGTGTAAGGAATCAGTACTGTGAGTGAGTTGGACTGCATTAGGAAACAGCAAGAAATTATATCCACAGTGGAGAGCGGCAGCATTTTGTTTGTCCCTCTAACAGAAGTGTCATCTTACTCCAATGTCTGCAGTGCCCTCATTTTTCTAATGTAGGCTTCATTTCCAGATTTAAATAGTAGTAAGCCATGCAAAAGAATAGTCAGTCTTAACATATTTCTATTTTTTTTTACCCAGAATGCTTTTTAAAAAAGCAAACGACAACAACAACAGCACTTCTACATGAGTGAAGTGGACTCTGTAAAATAATTTTAGCATCTCTAAGACTTCCAACTCTACAAAAACTCCAGTGGGAAAAGCTACTTTGAGCCAAAAGATACAGGTTGTATTTTAATGTGAGAAGCTGAATAATTATGGCCTTTCCTCTCTATAGAACCTTCCAGAATTTTAATTAGTTTTAGTTCACAGACAATGGCAAGGCAATCTGAAATGTACGGTACTTTCACAGTTGCCAACTGGCTAAGATAACGAGTTATAATTAAGTATGGTATTTGCAACTGTCATTCTGCATAGAGAATTGTAACAAAGATCACAACTATTCCAAGGAGGTTATTGTTTAACACTCTCCACTTCTTCCCTCTACACTGTCAGTTTCCTTTTAGATAAAAGAATGTTGGAGACTTGGTGGTGCCTTTTCTAAGAATGGTTCATTTAGAAATGTACAGGCTGAGCAGCGGGGAACAAGAAAGCACATGAGCTGGTAAAACTGCAACACCATTTCTCCAGCCAGCCTTGAAAGGTGAGAAGTGTGTTCTCATTCTCTCTGACCAAATACAAAACTGCGTTAGCATGTCTTTTCCAGACAGGTTTTTAATCTGGCATATTGCCTATGGCATCAATGGAAACCTGTTGCCCTCCTAATCCCTGAGCATGGGCCATCCTGTCTGGCTCTGATGGAAGCTGGAGTCCAATGACACCTGAAGGGTCACAGGTTTCCCATCCTTGTCCTAGGAGGGTGAGACCAATGCTCAGGTTTCCACTGCTCACACTGCAGTGCCACATGCACAGAGAGATACTGACATTTTGCAAGGGTTCAAATCTCCTGACAAGTACTATTTAAGAGCAGAGTACACAAAGTAGAGGACAAAATGTCCATGCACACACAGCATTCATGCAGTTCATTTGGCTGCGGACCTACAAAAAGAACCCCCAGCCCTCCAGGAACATGGGGTCAAGCACAGCCAAGGAAAAAAAGGCTTTTTAAACAGGCTACCAAGTGGTAAGACCAAGACACACAATGAAAGCAGCCATAGGCAGCTTTAGGGGTTAAGAAGGAGGTGGGAAAGAACATCCCCACACACCTTTTACATTCCTGACCAGACACACAGGTCACCTACATGTTTTGTCGTAAGAATTCAGACACAAAGTGGAAATGTAGGTATACCACAATTAAAAGTGGTATGAATTAAAGTGCTCCAGCACATCTATTACACCATTTTCAGAAAAAGAAAAAAAACTTTTTCGGTTAGGAAAGTGATGCAGAAATGCATGAAAAAGCATATGAATGAAAAGTTATATGAATGACTGATTACTGGGGATATGTATAAACAAATCAGAGCAAGGGCTAATTGCAGGTGAGTATGAGTGATGCACCAACCAGCCTCCCCCAGTGTAAGGCAACAGTATAAATAGGATTGCTGAAGGCCATCTTCTTTGGGAAGACCAATGTTAGACCAACCCAGGACAGCGCTGCATCAACTAGCTCCAGTTATGATGGGGTCCACCTGCTGTCGTACTTGTGAGATTCCCTTGCAGCAACAGAAGGGGGGGATGAGAAATGTTGTTTAGGGTATTTATTTTAGTTGTGTCTAGCTATGTAATAATGTGCTTTATGTGTTTTACTTAGCTGTAGATGTGCCTTGATAGGTTTATGCTTTCTATACACGCTTTGTAGGACAGCACAGTTGGTAGAGCGTAAGACTCATCATCTCAGGGTCATGGGTTTGAGCCCCACATTGGGCAAAAAAGATTCCTGCACTGCAGGGGGTTGGACCAGATGACCCTTGTGGTCCCTTCCAGCTCTACAGTTCTGTGATTCTATCCTCATCCATAAATGTGCCTATTGCCTTTGAATCCACAAAAGAACCGCTGCCCTTACTAAAACCACTTGGCCTTGGCAGAACAACCCTTTGCTTGCTCACCCTTGTGGGCAGGGGGCAGCAGTTTCTTTGTCCCTGTGCTTGGAATTATAGCGGTAGTAATAGAGTGGGTATTAACTTCAAAACACCTATTTTCTTGCATCCTGTAAAGTCATATGTTCACATAGACAAGTCAAATGTCTCTGTATTTTTTGTTCCATGGTTTTTAACCCAAATGAGCATTTTCACTTTATACTGAATCAATATTCGCCTTTTGTAAGAGTTTGTTTCCTTCTAGAAAGGAGGCTGCATCAAGTGTTTGAGTACTGAAAAAGAAATCTAAAGTTCCTTACAATAAATCTTATGAGATGGATTGAAGAAGGGTAGTTTTTATACTGTTTTAATGTGTTCCTCCTTTAAAAGTGCAAAAGTGATGGTAACAAGCTGGTGCTAATGATGTTCATTGATTGCAGTGGGGCTTAATTCTAGCCAAGTATGCTTATCATTGCACCTTTCAATTTAGATTATACCAGAATCCCAGGCATGCCCACTCAGAATTAAGCTCCACTGAGTTAAATGGGACTTCTTCCCAGCTAAGCGTGTATAGGATTGGAACATCAATCCACCTTCCTTGGCATTTAATGTACTATGCTGCATAATTCACAGTGCTCTTTAATTGCCATTGCTTAAGGCCTTGCTTCCTATAGTAACATGAAACTTTAGCACCAGAGAAAAGAGCTTATTAATTATTGAACATTCTTCTGGGAATGTTAACCTTCTTAATGTTTGTCGAGAAGAATCGGGATTGTATAGGAAGCTCACATGCATTTACTTATTCTAAAAACCTCTCCCCCCACTTTTCTACCCAGTGGATGCTCATGGTGCTTACTGTTGACTATCACCATGTCAGGAAGAGTTTGGATTTTGATATCCCGCTTTATCACTACCCGAAGAAGTCTCAAAGTGACTAACATTCTCCTTTCCCTTCCTCCCCCACAACAAACACTCTGTGAGGTGAGTGGGGCTGAGAGACTTCAGAGAAGTGTGACTAGCCCAAGGTCACCCAGTAGCTGCATGTGGAGGAGCGGAGGCGCCAACCCGGTTCACCAGATTACGAGTCTACCGCTCTTAATCACTACACCACACTGGTTCTCTGATTTTAAAGGAAGACCACGGCTGCTGCTTCAGCAATGAAATAGCTCAGATTGAGAGCTGATATAGGAACTGGGAGCTCCGCTCATGCTTGACTCTGACCTAAGCAGGCCCTGACCTAAGCAGTTTTTTGAACATGCGCTTCACCATCCTCCTGAGAAACATCATGGATAACTAGCCACTTTGGCGGTAGATATGGAAATCCTTCCTGACTCACCATCATATTTGCTCCTGTTGTCCTAAGGCTTGTCCAAGAACCAACCAAGAACCTAGCTAGTGTGGTGACATACACACTAACAAACTACATACACATGCAATAACAATGCTGCAACAGTTGAATTAGAAGTCTGAGCTGAAAGTGTAGTAGTGGTAAGCTTCATGAGCCTGAGCTGTTGAGCAAAGGAGCTGGGAGAGGCTTGCTTAACAATTTCCTGCCCAGTGGTTCCCTGCCCAAAATATCTCCCTGACTGATTTATCCTTGGATGAGGGAACATCCAGGAGTAGGTTAAAGCAACATGGGGGAGGATCTGGAATGAGGAAGTGGCAGGTGAGGTAAGGGTTAATTACCTTCTTTTTCCGGAACCTACTTTTCATCATAATATATTTAGATATATTTGTGTGCAGTGTGTCAATCACAAACACTAAGCACTTTACAGATCCATTGATTTTAAAGGAAAGGTAATTACATACTTAGGCCTGCAATACTAAACCATATGAATAAGTCCAGTTGAACTCAATGGAATTCTTCTAAGTAAACATGGGCAGGACTGGGCTATAGAACTCTTCTATTTTATGTCACTTGGATTCAATAGTTTGCATCCTACCTGCCCTCTATTTTCAGCCATTTTGCCATTTTTATTTTTTATTTTTTATTTTAGAAAATGATGCCTGCCCTTTACTGAACCTTCTGTTTTGTTGTAGTGTTTGTTTACACTGCCTAAGTATAAGAAGCCCTATAATTTTCACTTTCATTGGCACAGGGAAAGCTAGCCTAATGATTTGAAAAGGTAAGACAAAGAACCAAGCATTTTCCTTTGTTTTCAATTAACCTTTAATCCATTAAACCTCTTTACAAACTGTGAGAACTGCCAACTTAAATTTATATTCCATGGAAATCAATTTGGTTTCTTAGGCAGAAGTCAGATAATTGGAAATTGCATAGACTGGAACTATTCGGTCTATCCGCCAACAGTAAGTTACAAACACTGTTGAGGGGAAACCCTGGGGAAATGCTAATATGTTGGAATCCATCACTTCCACTTGATCAGGGATGGGGAACCTGTGGCCTTTAAGGTGTTGGACATCCATTAGTCCCAGCCAGCATGACCGATGGGCAAGAATATGGGAGCTGCAGTCCAGCAACACCCCTGATCTAGATGCTGAATTTGGCATCTCAGCAATTACTATGACCCCTTTACCTTGGACTCCATTCTGTGTGCCTCTGAAAGCATGGGGAAATCTTATTGCAGGTAATAACCAGGAAACCCCAACAAAGGAAGGATATGAGATCCAATCAAAGAGTTTACTGAAGCTTGAAGAACGTTAGATCTACCTGAACTATAGAATTTTAAGAATTAAACATAGTACCATCTAGCTTACTTCATCCAATCATCATCATAGATTCTTTCAAGTCCATTCAATAATATTTCAGACACATTCTTGAATAAGAGTGCACTATACATTTAGAGCAATATCATTTTTAAAAGCCTTGACTCAACTCAAGGAATCCTCGTTCTCATGGCTTAATGGCATTTGCAAGGCCAAGGAAAATACCAGTTACCTCCACCCATCTCCTCCCAAAGATATTCCACATGGCAGCAGAGGTTTAGGATCAGAATTTTTCTTCTCCTAGATGGGCTACTTTCCTAGGTTGACAAGCCCCATCCGCTCCCCACTTCCATCGCAGCACATGCAGAAACCATCCTCTTGACCATTGGACCCACTATTGGTCTCATCTTCTCAATCTGCTGGAGCCTGTCTTCACATGCAGGGGAAGTCTCTAACTCACTGAGAGTTTGAGTCCCATTGGCTACCCTCAGCTGGTTTAGGTGGCCAGTCAAAACCATTGCCAGGGTGTCACCACTGCCACATGCTGACAGCTTCTAGGGCCACAGCTGAGAGCTGAGTGCAGGTAGAGAAGGCAGAGAAGGTATAGAAACTACCCCAAAAGGAGCATGTGTCCCCCACCAGAGGTACTACCCCTCCTCTAATACCCCATTTTAAAAATTATTATTATTATTACATGCCTGAGAAGGAGATATGCTGCCAGAAGCAAAAGTAAACCTTCTTTTTCCTTCCCAAACAAATTCTACACTGAGTATCTTTTGTCTGTGATTTCAAAGTGAACAGAAGTGTGTTGATTTGTTTTAGACAATCTTCTCTCTTTAATTTATTGAATTCTATAGAGTGACAGATAGGTCTATTACAGAGGCACCCAACAAGCATAAAATGAATCAAATAACTGACAGACCAGAGTCTTCTATAGTTTGCAGAGGGCATGGCCCAATCAGTTCTAGTACCCTTTCTTTTGGGTCACACATGGAAGACTAATGAGCATGTATAGGATAAAAATGAATAAGCAAACACTTATTGTCACTTTTTCTAAGAAAATTATGAAAGTAACTGAGGAAAAGTAGCCACGGCCAAACTCCCCTGAGCTTATTTCGTAAACAGTATGGAAAAAGCACAGAAAAAGCTAACAGCTGTTTCTCAACTTAAGTGGTGTCATATGCAAATTGGTGGTGTTGTCCCTCCCATTGCCATGTTCTTCCATGGGATCCACTGTTCTGCTTCAGCTACCTTATTCCAAATTGTGCCGCTGTGCTATCATGAGGAACAGCCTGAAAATCCAACCATGCATGTCCTCCACTGCGGTGAACAAGCATGCCAGGAACAAGAGAAGGTTTTGCATCTGGATGAAGGACAACAGCCACATAAAAGGCTTGCAATAATTAATTACTATAATTAAATTCAAAATATACCCACTGTTGGTCAAGTGGTCTGCTCATACAATCCGTGAAAGTCTCTTCAAGGTTTTTTTAATGATTAACATTAGGACACAGGGATGGGGAACCTGTGACCTCCATATTCCATTGGATTTCAACACCCATCATTTCTGACCACTGGCCAAACTGCCTACAAGGATCCTATAGATGATCTTTGTGTTGCCAAACCTCGGGGATTTGCCTGACCTTTGGCGTTTTCTACTTGGGTCATTAAAAAAAAACACACCACTGCTTATTAATTTGTTTGTTTGCTTAAGTAATTTACAAGCCATTAAGCCACTTTTCTGGACTATGCCTACCCTAGGCAGCTAGCAACAAGATTACAATACAACAGCAGAATAAAGCCTTCAAATCAATAATATATTTCAGTATAAACAAGTTTTAAAAAAAATAATCCAAAGCCATAGCAGTGAAAGACAATATCCACAGTAAATAAAACATCAGCAGGTCCCAAAGGCACACCAGTTAAAAGCTCTTTGAAGCGTTTTGTTTTTTAAAGCCTATGACCATACATTCATGGGGATGGAGTTCCATAAAGTGGGGGCCAATCCTGAGAAGTCTCTGTCCCTGGTGCCTGCTAGTGTAAGGGATCTTAAAGGCATGCTAATAAGCAGAACCTCTTTAAGCATAGGCAGGATAATTTGGGCATAGGCAGACCATCAGGTAACCTAGGCCTGAAACATTTAAAGGTCAAATCAACACCTTGAATGGGGCCCAGAAGCATGCC